CAAGACAATTAAAAAAAAACAGACATAGGAGGGAATTTTGAGGAAATACAAGCCAGCCATTTTTAATGCATAACAAAAAAACAGAAAAAGAATTTCCCACCTTATTGTCTAAAAATCAATAAATAAATAAATAATTGAAATCCAAGTTGATATATAGCTTATCTTACTATTTACCTGCACCCCCTGTTGAAGTTTTTAATGGAGTGTTTTTTAAGCTGATAAGATGTTTGTAATTCCCTAAAATCTAACATTACAACAACTTACTAGTAAAATATGCTTTCAGCTTCGTGGCTGTACGATAAGATATCAGCACTGTGGCAGCAGCAGTGCAGACTAAGGCTGTACGCACAAGTGCTATTTTTGCTAAAGTCTGAATCTGGCTGTCTGCCTGTCTATATCTGTGCTGGCTTTTGATTATGCAAATACTATGCACTATAAATGAATTAGTACACTTGCATCTGAAACCTGCTTCAAAGCGTGTAAATAATACATTTGGTGTCACTGCATAATTCATTCTCTATTAATTACATACACAAGACTGCGTGCTATACTCTGCATTTAGATGGTGTTAGGGTGTTAGGGCAATGCACACTCAGATGTTGTTTTCTTAAATATAGAACACATTGTGTACACAACCGCAATCTGTCAGTATCTAGATACTTGCTTCCAAAGTGCAGTTTTAATTCAAATTGCCTCTCATTGTTTTCATAATCATTTCCTATTATAAAACTATCTCTGCATTGTCATCCTAACGCAATTTCCCAAACTCTACTGGCTTTAATCGTTGAATTAGTAATTCATTTTTGAGCGGGCTCTTGATTGTGTAAAACACAACGCCCTTTTTCATTGTTTTTCCCCTCCTTTTTCATATCAAGTGCCTCTGTAATTATGTATGAGAGGAGGGGCTTCGCAAAAAAAATTAAATAAGCGCAAATATTTTAGACGCGCATCCCCTACAATTAAAATATGCCTATCGTCGCGCGCTTTGTAAGGCATGTGGTATTGAGGCCGGGCTACAAATTTGAATACGGAGAATCGTTTGAAAAATATATGCTGTTCGGCAATTAAATTATATGAGCACTTGGATGAGGAAGCACTACCACTGCATATAGAATGGTGAGCAGTAGTTGCTACGCTCGCATTAGCATCTGGCCCTTTTATGTAAATTTGATGAGAAAGGACTCATGCATATACGCCAGGGCTAGGGTGTACTCGCCTAATATCCTTATTAGAGAGGGATGAATTAAATATTTATTAGGGGGGCTAAGGGTTAGGAAGGGGGGTGGGGGTGGGGGGGCTGTCCTGTGTTGTCATGAGGACCTGAGGAGAAAGAAGGGGGGGAAAGGGAGGAGGAGACTGGCTTTCTGTAAGAGTGTCTCTCTCTGCCTCAAGGTGCCACCATCTTAAGGCGTTTGGCGGTAGTGAGATTGTGGGGAGGGTAGACCTAAAATGTCCGCTGGCATAGACACACGCACGCATACACATTAATGCATACAAATTTCCGTGAAGCATGTGGATAGCACACAGATCTGAGAGTCAATTATTCAGATACTGTCGTCGGCAGCTATGCATGCCGAGCATTTCATTTGCATCTATTAATTCCTTCGATTACTGTCACTTAGCAGATCGACCTGTGTTTAGCTTTCTGTTGCTCGCCGCTTATTGTGTACGAGCGCTAATACCGGCACTGCGGCTATCACATTTGCTAATATTTTGGGAATTTCAATTTGGCACGTCAGTGTATTTTTATCCCTGGAAACAATTTTCAGCGGAGCCTTCGTTAAGGCCTCGATGAAAGCACTGTAATGAGACACTCCAACTATTTCTTTATATATATATCTATATAGATATATATAGATATACATATAGATATAGATATGAAAAAAGAACTAAATTGTGTGCATTTACCATCTTTTTAAAACATTAAGCAGTTCTTTAAGATGTTTGATTGCTATGATTTTCAAACACTTGCCAATTTAAAAGTACTTTTTGTATATAATATAAATACATGGCTTTGCTTACTTAAACGTTATAGATACAAGATGCAGCATTTTACCTTAAGTGAGAATTTAGAGAAGTTTTTGAAAATTTCAAAAATGACAATACGAATGCTACAGAGCAGGCTAAGAAAGGCACTGACAATATTGTAAGTTTATGTAAATGAACGCTTTACTGTTCTCCCTATCATTTTCTGTCTCCTTCTCTCTTACTCACTCTCGCTGTCACATACACACACTTTAGCTGACCTCTCCTATCTGTTAATTATCATAAATGTGCTTAGTGAGCTGGCACACACGGGCACAAACGGGCACGCGCACACACACACACACACAATCACATCCCCAGCGCACAAACACACATTGTGCAGTCAGATACAGACGCAGCATTAGCATTCCCTTTCATCGTGAAGTGCTCCTGAGCATGAAAAAGAATGTGCAGGAAATTATTCAAGATGAATTATGCCACACATCATCCCAAGGATTCAGGCAAAGACACACACACACATACAATGACAAATACACACACACAGCTTACACGCCAAAAAATATGGGGCTCACCAATCTGGGGAAAGTATGTTACCGAAGGAAATTTGGCTCTCGCTACAATTTCAAGATTTAGCTTAAAATGGCCGTTAACTCCCGTACGTGGATGTGCATTGCTGTTAGTCTATTCATTTGTGAGTTGCCATCCTTATACATTGAAACTGTCTCAAAGATTACGTGTAATTATTCCCATGTGAATTCTGCGTCCTTGCACACTTGCCTGTTGTCCCAGTTTTCCATGCATAAAGTATGTACACAATATCAGCTGATCCCCTTCCCTACCTCCCGGTTTCCTCTGATGAGTGGTATGCCCTGGCGCATTGCCAAAGATGTGAGAATAATTAAAAGGCTGTGAGTTTGAATCTCGTGTTGGCTAATGGATTGTTACTGAGAGGAAATGAGACAGGCAGCATGGGGGAGCTGGGTGGCAAAGCAGACCTTGACTTTGGATAATGAAACACTGTAAGCCACGGTGGTGGAGAGAAGACACACCTCTCATAAAGCAAATGCTTTTGTTCTGCGACTACTCCCTTTTGTCATATAGGCAGGTGCAATTGGAAGGTGTCGCACAATGTGGGAAAGACACCGTCAATCCTGCGTCACTTCAGTCAAAATCGTCGTAATTTTTTCCCCATTTTAATTTACAATCTCTTCCAAATCTCTGCAGGTCACTTAAATGGGCTTTTTTTTAAAAAAAAATGTTTCTCCACACAAGATAATCATTTTATGGCTCGTGTACATTTCCCTTTATGTTGTCTTTTATTGCCTCGGTGCGCGATTGCCTGTGATATGTATACGTCTGCAATTTGCATTATATTTAGCATCCAATGCATCACCACAGTGTCGCTTAAAAGAAAGCCGGCTTGAATTTTTTTTTTTTGGTAGAGTGTAGCACCTCTACCAGCCCCCCAATCCACCCAACACACATGTAGGCTCAAAGCGTTGTGGTGGGGAGAGCAAGGGGAGCAGAGCGAAGCAGGGAGATAGAGGAGCACGAGGGAGATGGGATGAGACAAGTCACACAAGCCGCAAAGGGAACAGGGTGAAGGTGGAGGGGGAATGCTGTATAGTTACCCTAAACTCTGCCGTAGGGCTAGAAACACACATAGACACAGCAACACACGAATGCAGACACTTACACACGCACACTGGTTTGCCACACGACCGCAAGACACACTCAGAAATATGTGGAACATTGCAGTGGGGAGTATGAGAATATGCACCGATATCTCAGTGATTTATTTATTTATTTATGTTCCTTTTTTTTGTTCTTTTTTTACTCCCGAAGTCTTGATTGAATTTAGAGATGCAAGACTTCCACGTTTCTTTCAGGGTGCTTGATGTCAATGCGCTTGTAAAACCTGTATTTGATGAAATAAAAAGGCAAGTAAATGGGAAAAATAAGATGTCGTAGATGCATTATTAATTATTTCTTACAGCACGCACTGCAAGGGTGAATGTGTTGTTTTGCACATGCGCGAGAGCTTTAATACAGGGCTCTAATAAAATGTGGCACCTGTCAGTTTGACACTGACTCGCTAAAAGAGGCTCGCAATCACTTGGGAACACAGGAGGAAAGAAAGCCAGTATAAAGTGACTACATAGTAGCCTACAGTATATTTCTGTACATAGCCTCCTAATGAGTCATAAGCACCACATGAGAGCGGCGAAACCTAAAGAACTGTTATGTCTAAAGTGCACGCTTTGTCATCCATGTTCAACTTTCTGACATCGGGCCAATTTTTTAACTGACTTCTGTCTCAAGGTGAGGAGAGTTCCACCGGTCATATTTCATATACAGGGGGCAAAAGGACAGAAAATGAGAAGCTAAAATGAAATACTCCTGATTGTTTAAGGATGTGTTCAGGTTCACATGGTGGCTCGCTGGATAAAGTCACAAATTAAGTCTCAAACTATCCTCATAGGCTGCTGCAGTCTGTAATGACCATCTCTGACCTCAAATGCATTACTCAAACAACATGGCTGCAGAAAGTGTGTTGGCATACACCAGAGATAATCAGGCAGTTTACAAGAAATAGCAGACTCTTTTAATATTATAGCGTTAAAACGCCGCAGCAAAAACTTTAACATTTGAGCAAAGATTTATAATGATATTTTGAAGTATGCAAAACTGCTTGCCATGACCTTCAAGTGATACGCAAGTCAGCTGTTCATGTTCTGTAAGGTCCCAGGTTTGGCGTACTATTTGTGGCAAAGAGTAAAGGTTGAGAAGACATTTGCACAAAGTTATTGCCAATTTGAATTCCTCCAAGCAAACTTAGCTATGCTAGCTATTTCCCTCCTTAACCATATAACTGTGTGTTTGCTGTCATTCTGATGTTTTTTGGGTGAAAACCCGTTAATTGTGATTTGCTCGGGAAGAGCTGTTCAACAAGTAAAGGTTACCGCTTGGTAAACACTCCCTGCTTGTGTTGTGTATGTCTTTCATTGCTGCAGTGCTGGAGAAAGGGAGCTGAGAGAGGAACTGCTTGCAGCAGGAAGTAGAGGTCAACACAAGATTTCGGGGGTTTTGCTCTCTAATGGACCCACACGAGGTGAGCTTTGGTTAATAAACCAAGTGTGTGTTTGTGTGTGTGTTGTTGGTCTAAACTGTTCGAAATGAACGTGTATGAACATTTAGTTTTAGTGCATTTTGTGTATCTATCAGAAACATGAGTTTACTGTGACCTCTGGTAGTTCAAGGACAAAACATTTCAGTAAAACACTCTGTACCAATTTCTTGCTTGGCTTTTTATTAATAATTGCTTTATTCTATAAAGCATAATTGAATTATCGATTTGCTAGACACATGTTGCGGTCTTATTATGCATTTGAAACTCATTTGGATGTTTTGAATACAAAATAATAAAGAATTTTGTTGGAACATCCAAATTTCTTTGTTGCCAGTTGTTTTGACTGATTTTTTTTTCCTCTATGCCTATCTCCATCGATGTGTGTGTGTGTGTGTGTGCGTGTGTGTGTGTTTGCCTGCAGCAAAGTTAGCCCGTGTGTGTTGGATAAAGGCATAGATGTTAGCAGTGGTCCAGAGGACACAGTAAACAGAATAACAGCGGTTTGAAGAGAGCTCAGGCAACGTGATCGTGGGCAATATCAAATCCCATGACCCATTCTTTGCCCTGTGGTCGATACCAAAGACAACAAGCACGGGGGAAACAGAGGTTACTGCTCACTATTGATCATCACAACAATGCACACACAAACAGTAACTACAACCAGGAAGTGATTGCAAAAGAAACATCTCCTCTAGCTACCAGAACCCGCACATTAACACTAATTACGTGCAAGGCATCTTGCTGTTCACATGCAACATTTTTATGCAATCGTAGGCAGACAGATATTTTAATGATTAGTTTAATGAATGGTTCTCATAAGAATGAAATTCTTTCTAAATTAGCTGACAGCAAGAGCAAATATTCCTCATAATATTCCATATATATATCATATATTCTTAGTTTGATTCTTGCTGATGCTGAAAAAAAGAAAAAAAAGAAAGAAGAAGCGCCGGTATGGTGGCATATTAGCACCCTTAGGTCACAGTGCCCTGTGGCATTACTGTTCTTAATTACTCCCAGTACTCGTACGCATTCGGTGGACTTCTCAGAAGAGCCAATTAGAAGGTCAGGGCAAGTCACTTGGTAGGAGCAGTCACTGCAAAAGTCTGTAGAAGTACTAAATTTCACCCTCATTCTCTTTCCCTCTCTCACACAACTTAGACAACACAAAAACATTTACACTGTAAATCTTCCTTTAGTCATATCTGTCGACCATTAAAACAAGCACTAATAAAAAATAAAGGATGTCTGCTACACAGTATTGTTTGTTTATATTCCATCACCTCATTTGTTATGCTATAGTCATAATCATCTATCAGTCATGCAGATTTGAAGTACAGCTGCTTACTATTAGGGTGCCAGCGGGAGTAAGTATTTATAATGTGCCGGCTGCATTCAGCGAAACCCTCGAGTCTTTGCAGGCCGGCTTCTGTATCATCAGTGCTATCCCACAGCGATTAATGAAGTCATCTGCATGTGTCTGTATGATTAAGGAGCACTAAAGTGTCATTGTGTGTATGCGTGTGCGAGTGCGTGCGTGCGCGCATGTTGTCTGGTCTTCGTAGATAAAACAACAGCACAGAACAAAAGATGCCAGCATACGAGAAAGCATCGCATTCGTCCAATCCCAAAGAGCAAAATAACAATTTTGCACAGTATTAACAGCACAGTAAATATGAAGGCTTCATTCTTCATGATCAGGTTATACAAGAAGAGACAATTTTAAAAAAAAAGAAAAGGATGAGTAAAATCAAAGTGGAAATTAAGGGAGAAAAAGTGAATTATTTAAAAAACACACTGTAAAATACTGAAAGTTTTTTTTCTCCCTCTCTCTTTCTCTTCAATGATTTAGTTTCCATCTATAATTTTCCTATTTCCTATTTGTCAAGTAATTCCATATTTCATGCTTGGATGCAATCCTTTCCCCATGCTATATATTGCAGATGCTCATGCCTCTTAGCGATAGCATAATATGTCTTTTCCATGCTTGTTCAAAAATTCCACAAAACTAGAACATCCTCATCTCTTTTTTTCCCCACTCCCACCCCCAACACCCTTCATTCTAATCACGGATGCACCAGAGGATGAGTTTGGTATTTGTGCACATCTCATCTTATCAATTCATAATTAAAATATATAAAGCTACAGTTCTTTTTTTCCCCCTTTTCATATAATATCTAAGTAGCTTTCAGTGGGCTGTGTAATAGCGCTGCTTAGGGAGGCTTTCTTCTGCATCACCATACAGTCAGAACAAAGGATATGCACATCGTAAAAATCATGCAAATACATGCAAATTGCTGGCAGCAAGAGAAAGCGTAGTAGCAGGAGGGGGGGAGTTTGTATAAGCAGAGAGGGATGCCAAGGACTTTGTATACAACACTCACACACACAGTCTTTCTTTAAGTTGTGTCATATAACTGAAGAATACTGCTTTACTGCTTTTGAATCTCATTGTAAATCTCTTCTCAAGACTTTCTCCTTATAAATTCCTCTTTATTTCTGTTTACCCGCAATGCATAAACGATATATGGATTTGTATTATTTGCGGAGAACCGCGTTCCATTTTTATGATGCAACAAAATGTATAGTGCTCATTGAGGACGCTATTGTAAATGCAGTGAATGCAAATGTGATTCACTGGCTGCAAAAAGCATGCGTGTGTCTGTGTGAGCGTGCGTGCTGGGATGATGCAATATTTTGGCTGCACCACCTCAGAAAAATGCAGAGCAGATATTAGTGGCACCATGCTAATAACGGTCACACCCCTCCTCCTTGCCATCACAGTGAAAACTTTATCGTACGTGATACAGAAACTGTAGGGATTAGGTGAAGACAGCCAGGTCCTTTTCCCTCTACCTCTAAAAAGCAATATGCTTGCATTATATTTCTTGATATTAGAATTGGCTGTTAATGTGGATGTTTAGAGCCATGACAGGGTTACTGCATCATCACGGTTTCATCAGCATAGAATTCCTTAAAGAATAATTTGTGGTCTACTAAACTCAAAGTCACATTACTTACATCCTAAATTGCATAGCATTTTTTTTTTAGATGAAATGTTTTTTGTTTTGTTTTTTCTTGAAATGTATTTATTGGTTTAGATTTCCCTGCTTGTATTTCATTTTCATACCTTATTTGAATATAAATCCTGCAGTTACCCAATAAAATCCTTATCAACAACTGAACATTTTGCACAATATATTTATTTATTTGAAATTAATTCCTGTAGCATCTCACCCCGATGACCAAAGCTGATCAAGACAACAGTCAACAGTCAGTAATGCCTTCTGCTCGCCTGCAAACAATCATATTTAAATAACACCGCCCTCTTTCAGACACACACGTGCACACATACACACACGGACCAACCCGCAGACACAATATGGCAGGGGAGGAAAAAAAGGGGGGAGGGCACACACAGAGACACACTCACAATTGTGCATAATGATGTTAACATTCCTGCATGTCTAATGCAGGGGATATTGAGACAGACACTAGCTGGTCTGCAGTCTCGCTGCACATTGTGTGTGTTCACGGGTATAAACGGTAGCAGGGCATAATGATGTATTAACTGTGGCTTGCTCTCGCTCTCAGTGTTTGGGCTCCTTGCTGAGGTTACTACAAGACTATGTTAATCTTATGCAAGATCACGCTGCGCTTTATTTTCTAGTCTGCTGTGTTAAATTTTAGGTGCGCTGCTAAAGAAACATCCGTGTTTGCTTTGGTTTTTGCACAGAATTGCAACCAATAGACCGTTTATTGCTTTTTGCTTTCTTAAACGCTTATTCATTTTGGAGTGATTAACCAGATTTGCAAAGCTATTTAAATATTGCATGTAAACGAAAGAATAGCAGTGGGTGTAGCATTCCAAGGTTTTAGCAGATAACAGCTAAATTAAAAAAAAAAAAAAAAAAGCCAAGTTGAAACAAATTAAAACATCATCATCCTTCATCATATTTATTCACAAAGAATATCTTAGAGGGTGTGGCTAATTTGAAATGCAAGCAACATCAAGTGTGGCACATATTTTTCAAGTTCCTTCCAAATAAAATCTGCACGAATATGGATATGAAAATGGAGCGGCTAGATCATAAAAGATGGAAACAAAGAAGGACAGACAGCATATACTGGCAAGGACAGGCAAAAGATGAAGCTCATTTTTCCATGGGCACCCAGTGGCGTCTGCATTGCAGATCGCTAAAATCCCCCTCGAATGCATCCCTGGGCTTAAGGAGGGTGGAGTGGGGAAGGGTGAACAAGGGCTGGGTTTATGCTATCCCTGCTTTGGTACACTTTGTTTTTTTTTTTTTTCCTTCCCCCACCAAAATATATTTTTTTCTGTCTGCATCAAATGTCAAGTTAATTTCCTGGGCGCTATGAGGGATGTGTCCTCCCCTTCGGTATGTGTGGCAGGGTGGTGGATTGTGTCAGGGTGCTTTGCGTGCCGGTGTGTTTATGTGTGCGTGTCTCTGTGTGTGTGTGCGTGTTTGTGTCTATATGGGTGAATGGGGAAAGGAAAAGGGGCATGGCAAGGCAAAGAGAGAGATGAGAGGTGGTGGTGGGGGGTTCAGTACAGTATGTATAAATTGGTTCTCTCTGAAGAGCTAGAGAGGTGTGTTGAAAGTGTGCATGCTTGTGTGTGTATGCAAGTGTGCCTGGTTGTATAAGAATATGATCCAATTATTAATAGATACTTTTGGCAATGTACCCCTGGCCATGTACCTGTCATTTTCCTTTTTCTTTTTTTTTTTGTGAATTCATATGTTCCGGTCTTTTGAAATTTCATCTGAATTGAATACTAATGCAAAAAGGAGAGGAGAAAAAAACACAAGGTATACAATAACAGGCATAACAGCATAACTCAATGAAATCTAGAAAAAAAGCGGAAAATCTTACCTTGCATAAATTTCCTAACAATATAGTTTCGATTGGGGTTGTCTTAGAGGATTGTTTGTGGTTTAAACAATACTGCTAAAAGCTCA